AACCCGGTTTCTAGCGTTTTAAGTCCGCAGACATACCGCTGTGTCACTGGGGGGCAAGGTGATATATGGAAAGCCTCACAAGAGGATGCGTGATGGGAGACATTGACACCGCTACTCTGAAGTTTAATCCCATGGTAACGCCCCGGTAAGAATATAAGCAGGAGAAGCAGATAATGCATGATTGCCAGGGAAAATATGATCACCAGTACTAGTATGTATAATTTAATAATCACTTACAATTGTAAATGATCTTCTGTATAAATAATCTTGTAATTGTGTGTTCCAAACTTAACATGCTTATTAATGAGTTTACAATTCGTTTTCAGTATGATTATACAAACTCTTTGTAGACATTTGATTTTTCTTTCTAAAATAACTTATAATTAAAATATTTCATTCATTTCTTAAACTTCAGTTAAATGTGGTCCATAATTTTATGAAAACGGTGTAGTTTTATAACTCATTTAAAACTATTCTGTATTGAAGTTTGATGTTTACTGGAATACAAAAATAATAGCCATATAATGCACGATTTTTTAATCATTCTGAACAGACAGTGGCAAAAAATGTATTAATTAATGTTAAACAATACAAAGTTCATTGTGCTAACTCATCGATAAAATAATTGTGGTTTCGCATGTTTAACTAACTATATTGGTAATTCTTAAACTAACTTGATCTAATAATAAAAAAAAACAATTATTTTTTACATTTTTATCAACTATACCATACATATTATTCTATTCAATTGGTATTAAAAATTACATAAAACATTTCTATGGAACATTATTTTTATGGCATTGACGTTAAACACTGTTGATTCAGAAGAAAACAGACAAACAAGCATTAAGAACAATCGATAAAGAAATAAGAAAAAATAACTTCTATAAGTTGATGTATAGTTATAGTTATATTTCCTACCAATATCTGGTCCATACTTTATATCACTCTTTTAAGTAATTCTAATGACTCGTAGTAAAGACGAATGTTTCGGGATTAATCGAAACCCTAGGATTTAGAACTTGTTTTTATTGTGAACTTGGTTTAATTGTAGAAGAGTTCTTTAAACATTTCAAAAACTAAATCTGTCAAAACGATTCAAAATTACACAGAGTAATATCTTTTTATTCCTAATCCTGCAAACTCTTCTTAAAACAAGGTTTGTTAAATTAAGAAATATAATCATTACCTATTCTGTTTTTAGGTAACATCCTAGTTTCGAAGTTCCTTACAGAGTTCAAATGTGCCCTTAAAAAACAAAACATATGTTTAAGTTATTAAATATAATGAAGATTGGAAATCGATCATTAAATTATTTACCATCAACACCATAGAAACCATGACAACCATTACTCTTCAATGTCTGAAATATATAAAATATGTTTCATTGGGTTCTTCTGTCTCCTTAATTCCCACAGATTTTGAGTTCACTCGTTAGCAAGACGTGATTATGTGCGATTGGCAGTTAAAACATTTGTTATTCTTTAAGAATTGTTTTTATAATTGTTTTAGATATGAGTATCAAAACCTACATGTGCATAAACCCGGTAGGTCATCAGTAAGTCTACAGATTTACAACGCATAAATCCGTGGTTCGATTCTCGCAGTAGATAAAGTGCAGATAACCCATTGTGTAACTTTCCACTAAGAACAACAATATAAAATACAAATATCGGTGAGTGAATTAGCAACACCAGACGCATAAGATTGTACTCATCTTCAATACTTAAATATACAAATGTTTCACAATATGTGAGATAAAAACGTCATAATTCGGTTCATTAACTGAACATACCATTACTATTTATTGGTAGTGGCTTGCTTTCGACTGCACTGCCTTGTACATGCTTTCAAAGGATTAGGAGTTTTACAACCTGGCCTAGATAATACATGAGCTGATAACCAAGGCTTTGTAGTCGAACCTCCTTTGTTAGCATGATTAAATCCTATCTAAAGGTGTGTAAACAAACAAAAGAGGTTGTAAATTTCGGTTATTCACAGCTGGCTCAAATTAGATCCTCCAATAACAGCGGGCGCCATCTGTAGGCGGTGACTACAAACAATGTAAGGTCTGGCGGTGTGCTGCAAGTAACGTTGGTAAACAAGATACCATGAAATTATGTTTACAATCATGGCTAACTTTCCCAATTAGCTTGGAAGAGAGTACAGCATTTGGCCCGTTTATCACGAACTGATAGTACTGTTACTATTTAACGAGTTTTCAACTGAAGCTTGTGACAATTAACGCAAGTAATATTATCAGAATATTGCACTTGAAATTACACCAGCGCTCAACAACTACCATACGAGTAATAAACAACGAACAACGTATCAATTTTACCATTTTATTCCTTCTTACGACAACTATTAAAGCAATAAATTGCAGATACTGAGTACACACACACACACACACATATATATATATAAGGCATAGATCATATTTTGAAGCAGTTTACCAAACATGGACTTTTGTAATGTGATGTAGTTAGAGCGCATAATCTCCCAATCTGTTACTTTTATGTGTATTTCCTTTTTTCTGCAAAAAATTCTGAGTGAACATATCTAAATGGAATATACCCGAGTAAGATGGTATTTTACATATTGCACGTTAAAGGTAAGCTAAATTATTACGGCATATATTAAAAATACACTAATATTTGTTTTCCATTTTAATGTAGAATCCATATAAAACGTTTTCTTTTTCGCAGAAAATAATATTGGGGAAGAAAACACATCTTATGAGTAATTTAGAGAATGGTAAAATATAAGGTTTACAAAGCTAAAAAAAAATTAATTCATAAAATATAATCATCTTCCCACCTACGTTTTACCTTTGGTGCTAATGATTCAAAAGTATCGTGTAAAGAGTGTTAACAGTTGTTCTAATAACACTCCTTCGTAACGACAGCGAATTAAATTAATCACGTTATTATCTTACCAGTGATGCTACAATCTAAAACTCCAAGTGTTCAAGATATATCGTGTTAAACTGTCACTAGAAGTATTGTTTGTTTGTTTGTTTGTTTATTATTAAGCACAAAACTACACAAAGGGCTATCTGTGCTCTGCCCACCACGGGTAACTAAACCCGGTTTCTAGCAGTATAAGTCCGCATACATACCACTGTGCCACTAGGGGGCCACTAGAAGTAGGCTTACAGCCAAAACATGTCATATATGTTAAAACGTTAGGTGTAAAGGTTTTATAATGATAAAGAAAATGTACTTGACAATTTCTGTCAACATCTTCAAATTTAACAGTCGAGAGGGGATCTTGATATAGTAGTTTGTTTGTTTGTTTGTAATTAAGCACAAAGCTACACAATGGGCTATCTGTGCTCTGCCCACCACGGGTATCGAAACCCGGATTCTAGCATTCAAGTCCGCAGACATACCGCTGTGCCACTGGGGGCCTTAATTTAGTAACATATCATGTTAATTATTTAGGATTAGCATATCTAACAATTTATGGTGGTGAATGTTGCATAAATAATATATCGTATTAGTTCTTTGTTGATGAAAAATATAACGTTATCATTAACCCTGATGATGGGGAACTACAAAACAATAACAACAAAAAGAAAAACTAAGCTTTTGGTTCTCAAGAAATGAATACTTGTTATAACATCTATTTAAAAGATACAATATTGCTTGATTTGTTTCTTATAAACAATAGAACTAAACAACAAGATTAGATACTCCAAGCTTAAGGAATAATCTCACTAATTCTGACTTGTTGGTCAGAGAAGGGCAACCAGTCAGCAGCACCTGTCGCTTTCATGTATATTCTTTATTGAATTTTGAGATGGACTTTTAAAACTTATACACAACTGGACATATTAAGCATGATATTAATATTAAGCAGTACCTTAATGTCTCGGACCCTTGACTTTCCGATCCACACAGACTGCACGCTAACAACTTGACCATCCAAGGCCCTTAGACAAGGTCAAATTCTTAAGATTCAGCCATAGCCATCCCTAGACTAGAACCGCTAAATAAAGGGGAAAAGACAACCAGTAAGGAGGACTACTGTCTACATGACTACTCTTAAACATATAGACGGCTAGCTGAAAATACAGAACGTTTTCAGCAGCATATCGCAGCTTCGAATTTTGAATATTTCAAGCTGGAGCCCATAATGCTAATCACTATATCCGATTCCGAATTAACACATTTAAAATAGTTCATTTCTTTAAATCCATCAGATAACATAAAATTATTAGGAAAAAAATTAAAAATTCAAGATTTTTACCCTGGTTAAATTGTGACTGATCATGATTACAATATCTGAATTGGACACATTTAACTTTACCTCTTCGCAATACAACAGCTATAGGAATAAAAAGGCCATAGTATCATCTAAGAAGTACTTATGTTGCATTTCACCTATTTTACTTGCAAAAGATCTAACTTTTTATGTGAAAATTAAGATAAGTGAAATATATGTTATTTTTATGACGCGTAAGTTGTACGTATGTGAAACAAAATGGAAGTTGAACCTAATTTCAATTTATCAATGTAGTATATCCTGTTCACTTGGACTTTACAGGTGTGGTACTACTTTAGGCAGAATTTATAAACAAAAGGTTAAGTGTTCAGATTACTTTCTTTCACTTCCTTCCATATTCATAGTGATTTATATGATTTGTTATTCAAGCCCCTCTCTCACGAAAATCCATAAACGTCAGAATTGATTGGCTAGAATAAATATGTCGTAACAACGGGAAGCTTTCATTCATGGACATGTTCCATTTGTTGTTATTTGAATTGGAGAGAAGGTTGATTGCTTTATCTACTTGACATTATATGCAAACCAAGTCCTTAAAATTTATTTCATGTACTTTAAGTTAGGCCAAGCAATTGATAAACCAATATTATAACAGAATAATAAAGACTACGTGACCATTGTGAAGTGGCTACCTAAATATATGACGTCGTACAGGAATGATTAAATTGCCCACTAACCTGCTCTTCTGCAGATAAAAATTTTACTAGCAATAAATATCTTATATTATTCCCAACGAGAAATGAAATTAAACATCTGCCACTCTAGAAAAAGTTGTTTTTTTTATTCAAGCATTCCAAGTTCTTTAAAAACATGTTTAATATCTCGCTTTGTGGATTCATGTTGATATGGATCAGATCAAAACAATGTATTTATTGGATTCCGCAGAAGACGAAGGTAAGACATTATAATGAACTTCATTGGATTTCTCTGACCAAATAACTGACTTACTGTTTTATTTGAATTAGTCATATAGTTATGAAATTGTAAAAGTGAACTATTCCATTTATGAATACAGAGAGTTGAGTACAGTATATTAAAACGGTTTTGAAGCTTCGATCTCGTCATTACAATGCATGTCATCACGTCCAGTCATACTCTATCTGACAATCGTACATCTTGACAATAGTCCTGCATCGTATTTTTCTTTGTAAAAGGCTCCGTGGTATGACTTCTCCCAAAACATACAACCCCTCCCTGCAGGCTTTTCATAATTCATCTAGCATACGAGGTCGACAATTTCCCATTTCTCATTTCAACAATCTCATTGCACATAAGTGGAATATCATGAATACCAATTTCACTCTTCAGCTGCTTGAGGTTTGTGATGGTTGAATGGGTGGTATGACTGTTGGTCTTATTTTGGTTAACCCTTATCCTGCTGGTCTCGTTTTGGATTATGTAGTGTACTGTTGTCTATGACACATTGTCGGATTTTTCCATTGAGCTTTATATTCTGGATCATCACCTGTTTAAGATGTCGCATTTTGCTTACCATGGTTTATTGCAAATTTCTTTCTGGTTGGTCCTGGTGCCCCAAGCTGGTACACATTTCTTTATTTTCCAATTTCATTAAGTACAAGGTATATTTCCGTCTTGAAAAGATGATTTAAATGTATGAATAGTTTGTGTTAGAAAGAGCTTTACTTTCCCTTCCCAAAAGCAATCAATTTTCAGTGGCATCATACTAATTATAACGCCAAACACTGTAAAAAAAGTACTTATAATACATGCGGTTTGACCATGACTTTATATTAGCTATGGATGTCTCGTGACTTCCTAATTTGCAAGTTCAAAATCATTTTAATATAACATACTCAACCCTGTATATAATAAAGCCTGCAATCTAAAAAGGAATAGCTGTGATTTTCATTTGACCATTCCCAGTGTACAAAAAAATAGTGGAATCTAATTATCTAATAACACATTTTTTACGTCAAGTACTAGCTAAATTTGCCTTTTCTTTGAAGTGTATATATAAAAAATGCGAAACAATCTGAATGACACCTTATGCAACATATATATATATATATATCATACAAAATAATTAAATAATCGCTTATTATACACGTGATTGTAACCTGTTTCCGATAATGTAATTTCTGAGGATAGAAATACGAGTTTTGATGCTTAACAAATAAAATTAAATAACACCCTTTCTAATTTTGAAACATTTTCCTGATAACGCTGGACGTTGTTTGTTTGTTTGTTTATAAATTTCACGCAAAGCTACTCGAGGGCTGTCTGCACTAGCCGTCACTAATTCTGAAGTAATAGACTAGAACACCTCCCACCGCCACGTTACGGTTTAGGCTACTCGTTTACTAACAAATAGTGGTATTGACCACCACATTACATCGAACCCACGGGTGAAAGAACGAGAATGTTCCCCAAGTCGAACTAGAAGTTGAGTTTTCCATTTAGAACAACTCTGTATTTTTGTTAATTTTTTATAATGGTTTTCCACAATGCACTAAGAATTTTTCTAACCTTTTGAACAACAAACAACATTCCATACTTCAACAGCAGGTTTATTTTCCTGAAGCTCTCTGGATTTGGTTTTCAACTGATACATTTGGAGAGGAATCTGGCACTTGGCAAGTTTTGTGCCTTTCTGTTTAAGACAGAAAAGACTTTATAAATGAGCACGAAAAATATCGTAATGATGGTAGTTGCTTTTATTTTTATATTCAGTTGGGAAAGATGGCGTTGCGATGTTGTTCAAATACTTTGTATGTTTGTTTAAGCACAAAGCTACACAATGGGCTATCTGTGCTCTGCCCACCATGGGTATCGAAACCCGGATCCTAGCGTTGTAATTTCGCAGACATACTACTGTGCCACTGGGGAGCTCAAATACTTTATAAGTTTTCATTTTCTGGGATTGTAATTTCTTTTGCTTCTATCTTTGTAGTTAGCAAATCTAAGGTTCCGTGGTTCTCGTCACTTTACCGCCAATAAAAAAAAAAAAATTAGCGCTCCGCAGTGGGGCCATGGGTTCTTTAAAAGAGTGAAGGTCAAATACCACTACAGTTTGACAATAGTAGCCCAAGAGTTGGTGGGGGAGGAGTGGCTGAGTAGTTACCTATGGACGACTAACGCAGACAGCCATTCATTAACTTTGCGCGAAATTCAACAACAACAAAAGCAATACCTTTTTTTAGTATGAAGAAATAAAAGTTATCAGTCACGGAAAAAGTAATATTGTACTCTTTCGAACACTACAGTTCCTTAACTTTTTCAACACAGCCATTTCAGCCTAAAGCAGAACATGAAATTGTCTACATCTAACTAGCTTTCGAAATATAAAATTCTTATATAATAATA